GCTCTCCTCCGTCGTCGTCGTCGTCGNGTCTCTACGGGNGGGGNGGGGGGAGTCGAGAAGAAGTGTCCGTGTAGAGCTCGAGGAATGCCTGGTCCGTATGAAAAAGCGAAAGAGGGAGCGTGGTGCGGTGCGGTGTGTTGGAATCGGATCGGGAACGGCGAAAGGTAGCGGCCAAAAAAAGGTGGGTTGGGAAGACGCGATGACGGGAATGAATACGAAGATTGATCAGACGGCATAAAGATGCGGGTCGATGCTGAGGCTGAGGCTGAGGCTGAGGCTGAGGCTGAGGCTGAGGCTGGTGGTGAAAAGAGGAGATGGTGGCGGCTAAAGCGGAAGGGGGAGGGGGAGGGGGAAAGGCGAGCAGAGAAGCCAGCTGTGTCTGCCATCGCCCCTTCACTCCCCTCACCTCCTGCGTACCCGGGGGAGTCGAACAGCTCAACCATTAATGAGGCGAATGGTGAGGTAGAGTGTGGATCCAATGAAGCGGATACACGCCATTCCGGCGACAAAGACGAGGACGAGGACCATGTAGACCTTGCTGCGCGTGACGCCCGTCGAGGAATCAAACGTGCTCGTCGTGTCGCCATTGAGGATAAAGGCCGCCACGACGCCGTTCGTCAGCGCCCACGCCAGCACGACATTGGTGCGCACATTCTTGTAGTAGTCGGTCTGGCGGGCCAGCTTCTCGTCGGCGCTCGCGTCGCCGCGGATGATCATGGGACGCGTGCGCAGGTTGTTGAGCGCCTCGTCGTACGCCGTGTCAATGTCCGCCTGCGCCGTCGGCAGCGTGATCTCCACCACGCCCTTGCCCGTCGACGTCACCGAACCCAGGTCGTTGGACACCGCCGTATCGCCCTTTGTGCCCCAGCTGAAGTCGTGCAGGTCTGTGGGAGAGGCAGCAGTAGATCAGATTGCACGTTGGTCAACTTCTCTTTTTCCACCGGACGAGGCTAGCGGCCGGCGCCAACACGTACTGCAAAAGGCGTAAATGTTGAGGATGCTGCAGATCGGCGAGGAGTTGCAAGCGGCATCGCGTCGCGTCGAAACGGAAAAGGGGCAGGCGTCAGTACCGACCCCTCGCAGTCTCTCTCCGGCCCGCCTCTCCGTTCCCTGGGTCGAGGCACTCACTTGATGTAGGTCGGAGCGAGCAAGAGGTACTGGAGGAAGCTGGTGACGAGGTGGAGCGGGTCGCACGCCAGCAGCGACGAGAGGAGGTAGACGCCGTACGTGGCGAGGAGGCTGACGACCATCTGGGCGTAGATGGCATCGTGCTCCACCCTCCCCACCACCTTGGACAGGCACAGCACCGCTGCCACCATCATGTACACCGTCACTGCAGCGAGAGAGCGGGCGTGCCGGGTAGTCAGCCAGGAGGAGATGGAGGGGCGAGGTCAGAAGTCGGTCCAAGAGGATCGCATGCGATCAGGCCTGCGTGCTCAGCCCAGGCCCCGACCACACGCCTTTCGGGGGGAGGACGAGGGGATCAACGGGAAGACTTACGGAGCGCGAAGATAATGACGGCCGCCATGTACTTCCACCGCGAGCCCTGGGGTCGGTTGCCCATGGCGAAAATGAAGCTCGAGACGACGGTGCCCAGGTAGATGTACTGCATGAAGACGTTCCAGACGCCGATGCCCTTGAGACCGAACGCGGGGTCCTCGAGGGATTGAGTGAGGATGCTGCGGATGCCAGGGGAGGCGGGGGTACGAATAGCGCGAAGCACGCGCGCGCACGGAAGTGGATCAGTCGTCGGCGCCTCGGTCGACAGAGCACGCTGGACCCTTTCCACACGCCCCCCCCTGAACCGCGCCGAATCGGCAACGGCCACCCCGCCACCCATACTCACCGGAAGAAGATGTAAAAGTTGGCGAGGCCGAACCAGGCAAAGCACATGTTGATGAACGAGTAGAAGCTCTCAAAGACGAGCACGCACTTGCGCCACGGGTTGTGGCCGCTGCTGATGAACTGCGACGTGTGGTAGAGGGCGTAGACGGCGGCGAAAAAGGAGCCGTTGAGCCAGCGCCGACGCTGGCTGATGAATTCCGGGAACGAGTCGGGCACGTCGGTCACGCCGCGCGCGCTCTTGACGTACTGCAGCACCCAGCCGGCGCCGCGCTTAGCCGCCAGCTCGAAGCACCTGAGCGAAGGGCGTCGGGAAGGACGAGAGGCAGGCAGGGGCAGGGGCAATGGCAGGGGCAGGGGCAGAGGTGGACGCGAGAGAATCAGCTCCGAGTCTCGCTCGCTCGCGAGGTCCAAACCCTGGACGGCAGCACTTACAGAATGCGATCCTCGGCCAGATACATCTGTTTCGGGCAAGAGGGGATGGCATAGGCGTGCAGAGAGGCCGTCTCGTTGCGGTGTCAGCCTCCGTGACACCAGAAATCCTGCAGCTCGGCCCGGACGGACCGGTTCCAACCCACATTCGAGGTAAAGACATCGGCCTCGGCGCCCATCAAATTCTCTCCCTTGAAGTAGGATGCCAGCGGACCATGGCCGAGCTCGTCGTTCTGTAGCGCAATGTAGCGGTACGCGCTGAACGCTCCGGGCAGCACCGAAATGTAGCCCATCACCGACTCGGTCGTCTTGTCTGCGGGGCGGGGCGAGGCGGGGCAAGGGGAGGAAAGCATCGCGGGGAGGGCACAGGGGCAGGCGAGGCGGAAGAACGGTGGCAAGAGTCAGTGAGACGCCTGGCGACGCGCATCGACGGACAACTTCGAGCCTGCCTGCCCGCCCGCCTGTTCTGGGGACCGGCCACTCACCCAGGATGTTGGAGATCTTGTACTCAAAGTTCTGGGCGGCGACGAGCGGGTTGAGGAGGGCGGGGCCGACGCCCCACTTGCCGCGGGTGTCTGCGCAGATTTCGCCGCACGCGCCCGCCACGTTGGAGTTGAGGTCAAAGGCCTTCCAGAGGTAGTAGATCGACTTGTTCTCGGGGCGGGTGCCGACGTCGAGGAGGATGGTGACGTTGGGCTGAATGACGGGGCAAAAGGCGTTGAAGAACCAGCGGTGCGAGTTGATCTTCTTGGCGTTCTTTTCCTTGAGGCAGAAGATGATCTGCATGGGCACCAGGCCGCGCTCGGCGCCCTTGAACTGGAGGTTGCTGTCGATCGAGAGCTGGGTCGTGTACTCGTAGACGTGGGCCTGGACGGGCTTGCCGTTGACCGAGTTCTTTGCGACGCCGTCCTGGTAGACGCCGAGGGCGGCGAGGCAGTCGAGGACGCGCGGGTGGACCTTGCGGCGGCCGTCGGAGATGATGGCGACGACGACCTTTTTCCAGCCGTTGGCGCCCCAGGTGCGGCTCTTGTTGCGGGAGCAGAGGTGTGCGATGTTTTTCATGACGCCGTGCATGGTGCGGGTGAAGAGGACCTCGTCCTCGTTGTACATGGTGACGGCGATGAAGATTTCGGTGTGGCGGTTGTACATGGCGGGGCGGAGGGTGAAGTTGTCGGCGGCAAAGTCGTCTGGCTCGCAGGTGACGGCCGAGTAGCGCATCGAGGTGAACTCTTCCTCGCCGCGGCGGCTGAGAAAGGTCTGGAGCTTGCTGGGGACGGGGCAGTCGAGGACGAGGTTTCCCTGGGTGAGGCGGACGTTTTTCTTGGTCTTGTGGCGGCGCAGCTGTGCGCCGTGGGCGGGGGCCGGTCCAAAGTGCTGGGTCTCGAGGGCGGCGTCGGCGAGGCCGGCGTGCCCCGCGGGCGAGGTGGTGTAGAGCGAGGCGTAGCTGCCGGTCCTGCCGTGTTTTGCGCCGTAGGCTGCGTTGACATTGTCGTCGTCGTCGCCGTCGCCGTCGTCGCCGCCGTAGAGGGTTGCGGCTTCCTTTTCGTTGTCGAGGGCGGCGTAGGGGCTCTGGAGGTACTGGACGCCCGTGCGGCCAAAGGGGGAAGCAGCGCCGTCGTCGTCGTGGTGGGCTGCGCCGTAGCGGTACTTTTGGTCGACGTCGTACTGGTCGTCGCCGTCGTCGTCGTCGTCGTCGTCGTCATCACGGTTGCCGATGCCCGAGTAGTCGCCGGGCTGACCTCGATGGTAGTCGTCGTAGGTGTAGCCGGCGGCAGTGTGGTCGTCGTCGTCGTTGTTTGGGCCAGCGCGGCGTGTGGGGTAGCCAGAGTACTCTGGTATGGAGCCGAGGTGCTGGTGGTCGTAGGGATGTGGTGCGAGTGCGGGCGGCTGGTTTAGTGGTAGGGAGGCGAGGGCGGATGCGGCCTCGTTGTAGAAGCTCTGGCTGAGCTGTGGTACGTGGGACGAGGAGCGAGCGGGAGCGTGTGCGCTTTGTGGGGCGTCGATGTGGATGCTGAGGTGGGCATTTGGTGGGTCTGCAAAGGGCGAGGGCGAGGGCGAGTGGGAGTGGGATTGTGCGAGTGCGTCTGGGTCCGGGTAGTATGGATAGTCTGGCTCGTCGTCGGGCCGAGGGTTGTAGCGCGACATGGCGAAGGAGAGCGAGGTGGTGGTGGTGGTGGTGGTGGTGGTGGTGGTGGCGGTGGAGGTAGGAGTGATGATGATGGTGAAGGTGAGAGAGGAGGTGGCAGGTCAGGGCAGCCAGGGTGAGCCATGGCCAGCCGGCCAGGGTGCAGCCCGGAGTGCAGGCAGGTGCCATGATGTTTGTTGAGGCAGCCTTCTACGGGCGCGCTGCTGCTGCTGCATGGCCTGCCTGCCTGCCTGCCTGCCTCGTACTGTAGCTAGGCTCTGCTTTTTCCTCGGCTGAGGGCGCGCCTCGAGACCAACACCGAGCAGAGCCAGCAGAAGAGACAGGCGCGACGCCTCGCTCCCGCGCCTCACGCGCGCCCCTGGCCTGCCTGCCTGCCAATTGGGCCAGAAACAGGGGCCTCGCTTCGATACGCCAGCGCAGGGCCAGGCCAGGCCAGGCCAGGCCTGCGAGGGGCAGCGCCCAGCTGCGAGGCCATCGCATCGCACCTTGACCATGCGCAGGGGGATCTATGGCCCAGATCAGACGTCGTCGACGTTGGCCTCGTGGCGTGGCGTGGCTCGACGGACACGATGCTCTGCTCAGCCTGGACCAGGCAAAGCACCCCACCCGCCTCAGCGCAGCCAGCCATGGCTACAGATACAGAGATCCACAGACTGGGCTGGCTGGCACCATCAACCAGCCAGATGGGCCATCCGCCGTTTCACCCGAGCCCACACGCACGCACGCAGAGGCCACCAGGATGGCATCGTCAGGGCCCGGATGGCGAGCAGCCAGTCCGAGTGCGTGCCAGCCTGAGGTGGCGTCTGTTGCCACTCGAGGCGGCGTCGACTGCGCGGTGGCGGCTTTTTGGCGCGCGGGCCACCGTCGGGCGCTCGCTCCTCCACCTTTGCGGGCGCTCGTAGTCGTCGTCTTCGTCGTCGTCCTACACTACCTGTGCGAGCCTTATCTCACGCCGCCGACCTCCTTCTCCTCTCCCTACCCTCCCCTCCTCCTCCTCCTCGCCCACGCCCACCGCCGGCAACGACCCGCCATGGACCGCGACTTTTACTCGTTTGCACGCATCACCGACCTCAACCTCAACCTCACCTTTCGCATGTCAGTCCGCCGCTCACTCTCCCACTCCCTCGTCGCTGCACCACCCTCGACACGCTGACCAACCACGACGCCGTCTTCATCCTCCTCCTCCTCCTCCTCCTCCTCCTTCCCTCACCCCCGCCACACCCCAGATCGTCGCTGCAGGGTAGCCTCCCACGCCTCTCGCGCCTCGAACAGCTGCATCGCCCCCACGCTCGCAACTGGGGCGTACACCGAGCGTGCGTCCCCTACAGCCTCGCTGCCCACTCTCAGCCCATCCTCGGCCAACACCACCGCCTCGATCCCAGTTCTCACTCCCCTCCCTCCGCCACTTGCCCCCGCCCCGCAGCGACTACCCCGACCTCTACGTCGAGTGCCGCCTCTACTCGGACAACAAGCCCCTCAGCCTGCCCGTAAAGACGGCCTACCGCCACTTTCGCAACAACCACGTGTACGTCTCTCCCTTGCGCGCCAGGCTCGCACACCTCGGCCCACTATCATCCGCTCATCTCCCCCCTTCCCCCTCGCTTCTCATCAATCCTGGCCCACCGCGCCGCACCGCACCGCACCGCACCGCACCGCACCGCACCGCACCGCACCACCTCGACAGCTGGTCAGAGTGGATCACCCTCCCCTACAAGCTCTCCGACCTTCCCCTCAATGCACAGCTCGCATTCACCGTCTATGATGTCGCCGCCAGCGCAACCACCCGCGTCGTTGGCGGCACCACCTTCCGCCTCTTTAGCAAAAAGGGGTGAGCAGACGGGCACCCCCCATCGTCGCACCGCGAAAATCACTTCAGCCCGCCCCCTATCGCACCGCCCCCACTGACGCACCAGCCTCTTCTCCCCGGCCCCGCCCCGCACAGCACGCTGAAAAAGGCCCAGCAGCGCCTCTACCTCTGGCAGGGCGCCGAGGGCGACGGCAGCGCAGAGACCAGCACCCCCAGCAAGGTCGGCAGCGTCCAGGACGAAATGGGACGCCTGGAAAAAGTGAGCAGAGCGGGCGGCATCACCTCGCGCCTCGACGACACCCTTCTTTCGCCCCGTATCCTTGCCGCTGAACATCGCCAACGTCCCCGACAATGGCTCCATGGCCCCTCCTCTGCCCGCGCCGCAGCTCATCAAGAAGCACGAGCGCGGCGACCTGCCCCACATCGACTGGCTCGACAAGGCCGCCTACCGCCAGATTGAAAAGATCCACAAGCTCGAGTCCGAGACGAGCGACAATCTCTTTCTCTACATTGACATGCCTCGCTTCGACCTGCCAGTCGTCTACTGCGAGCACGAGGCCGCCGCTGCACCCAACGCGTCCGCCTACTCGGCCGGACCCTCGACCACGACCACGGCCGCCGCCGCGGTTCCCGCAGCAGCTGCGTCCAGCGGCGGAACCGTAGCCTCTACCTCACCGTCGGCACCCGGGGCCGCCGCAGCAGCAGCCCTCGGCGACGAGGACGGCATCGGCTCGGGCCTCTTCACCATCTTTGATCCCGACATCGCACGAGAGAACCCGGTCGAGGCCAAGCATCGCAGGCTGGTCCGCAGCCATCGCAGCGGCCCGCTGGACCGGGAGCTCAAGCCCAATGCGGCGGTCCGCGACGAACTTAACGTGAGTGGTGCCGGCAACCCAAGAAACTCTCACCCCCAAATCCCGCAGGCCCCGGCCCCTCGCTTTGCTGACCCCATCGACTGCCCTGCTCCGCCTGCGTGGGCATGCTCGACTCTTCCGACCCGACTACAGGAGATCCTCTCGTACCCGCCCACGCGGGTGCTGACGTCGGCCGAGATGGACCGCATCTGGTCCTTCCGGTTCTACCTGACCCGAGACCCAAAAGGCCTGACCAAGTTCCTCAAGTCGGTCGTGTGGTCCGACGCCGGCGAGGCAAAGCAGGCCACCGAGGTGCTGCTGCCGATGTGGTCCGAGCCGGTCCTCGACGATGCGCTGGAGCTGCTCGGTCCGACCTTTCGCGACCCTCGGGTGCGCGCCTATGCCGTGCGCCAGCTCGAGCGAGCATCGGACGAGGTGAGTCGCCTCCGCTCCAGGCGCCCGTCTCTGCCGGCACGCTGGGATTGCCCGCGGCTACCCTCTTGCGCCCCAGGACTGACCTCTGCCGACATGACCGGACCGTGCCGCCTGCCTTCCGTTGCAGGAGCTCAACCTGTACCTGCTGCAGCTCGTCCAGGCGATCCGCTTCGAGGCCGGTGCGTCGGCTGCCCCGGGATCCGCGACGGCGCCCTCGGACGGCGCCGCGACGGCATCGACGCGCGACCGCGACCGAGACCGCGAGCGCCGCAGCCTGCTCGCGTCCCGCCACGGCGCTCTGGGTGGCGCCGGCTCGTTTGCCGGCTCCGGATCGGCGTCGACGTCCGACGACAGCGGTCTGGCCGACTTCCTGATCCGGCGCGGCCTGCGAAGCGCCGTCCTGGGCAACAACCTCTACTGGTACCTGGTCGTCGAGTGCGACGACAAGGCGACGGGCAAGCTGTTCCGCAGGGTCAAGTCGCGCTTCATGGAGCGGCTCGGAGCCATCGAAGGGGGCGACGAGCGGAAAGAGGTGCTGCGGCGGCAGGCCGAGCTGATCGCCACGCTGTCGCAGCGGGCCAAGGAGCTGCGGTCGTCGCGCGATCCGCGCCCAAAGAAGATCGACAAGCTGCGCGCCATGATTGCCGACCCGAAAAACGGGCTGTCGAGGTTCGACCCGCCGCTGCCGCTGCCGCTCGACGCCGAGGTGCTGGTGACGGGCATCGTGGTCGAACGCAGCACCATCTTCAAGAGCAGCCTGCTGCCGCTGCGGCTGAGCTTCACCCGGGCCACCGAGGCCGAGCTGCGGGCAGCCTCGGCCGGCTCAGGCAGCGCGGGCGGCAGCCGCCACGGCGTCGTGGTCGAGGAGGGGGAGCAATACGAGGATGGAGAGCGCGCCACCTCGAGCGTGACCGATCTCGGCGTCGCCACCGCCGGTGGCGCAGCTCCGTCAGTGCCGGCCTCTGCTGGGTCGGGCGCGCCCCCCGCCGCTCCATCTGCATCGCCGGCGGCGGCCGAGTACGGGCTGATTTTCAAAAACGGCGACGACCTGCGGCAGGACCAGCTGGTGATCCAGCTCTTCACGCTCATGGACCGGCTGCTGCGCAACGAGAACCTCGACCTCAAGATTACGCCGTACAAGGTGCTGGCCACGGGCGCCGTCGACGGCATGGTGCAGTTTGTCGAGAGCAGCACGATTGCCGGCATCGTGAGCGAGTACGGCGGCAGCCTGCTCAACTACCTGCGCCACCACCATCCGGACGACGAGGCGGTGGCGACGTACAAGGTCAAGCCGGCCGTGCTCGACACGTTTATCCGCAGCTGTGGTGCGTTGCGCCTTCCTGCGCCAGTTGTGATTGGGGAGAGGGAGCGATGAAGCCCGTGCTGACCTTTTACCCCCCCCCCCCCCCTCCCCTTGCCCTGGTCCTCGGGTCTCTGCTGCGCCCCTTTAGCGGGCTACTGCGTGGTGACCTACCTTCTGGGAGTGGGCGACCGACACCTGGACAACCTGCTCCTCTCACCGAGCGGCCACTTTTTCCACGTCGATTTTGGCTACATCCTGGGACGGGATCCGAAGCCCTTTCCGCCGCCGGTCAAGCTATGCAAGGAGATGATCGATGCCATGGGTGGGCCGCACTCGCCGCACTATGCGCGCTTCAAGGGCCTGTGCTACACGGCGTTTAGCATCCTGCGCAAGTCGTCGAACCTCATCCTCAACCTCATCGCCCTCATGGTCGACGCCAACGTACCGGACATTAAACTCGAACCGGACAAGGCGGTCGGCAAGGTGCAGGAAAAGTTTGCGCTCCACCTCACCGAGGCCGATGCCATACGGCTGTTTGAGGCCCTCCTCAATGAGACCAACTACTTTTCCAGCGTCCTCGATCGCCTCCATGATATGGCGCAGTACTTTAGGCAGTAGTTTGTCGTTGTCGGCCCCCTGGATTGTAGTCGTACTCTGGAGAGAGAAGAGGAGAGGGGGAGATGCGGGGGGTAGATGCAATATGCTTCTGTTGGAGCGAATGTCTGCGAGCGTCGTGGGCAGGGCCTGCCCGAATGGCAAGATGAGAAGGAAAGCCGCCCGCCCCCGACTTCCGCGGGTGCCTGCCTGCCTACCACCCCTGCCCTCCACCCTACGTGCGTGCCTGAGTGCGTACCAAAACGCTGCCTCTTCACCGTGGATTTTCGTGCAGATTTTCCTTGCACCCTGGCCGAGCCTGCCGCACCTCGACCTCCTTCCCTCCCACCCCTCACTTCACCACCGCACCGCTCCGCACCGCCCCGCACCACCGCATCGCACCCTTTCGTCAACGCTTCGACGTCGACTTGACCCTTCCGCCTCGGCGCTACTTTCACCTTGTTCACGACTACGGACGAGGACGTGCCGGCACAGGGATAGGAACGGCGACAGCGACAACGACAGGGATAGGAACAGAGACAGGAACAGGGACAGGGACAGCGACAGGGACAAGGATAGGGACGGGGACAGGATGTCGACGTTGCAGGCGCTGCGCGACGAGTATCCGGATCGGATCCCGCTGCACATCCACGATGACCAGGTCTTTGTTTGGCATCCCTCCGGTACGTTTCCGCCTTCCCTCTCCCTCTCCCTCTCCCTCTCCCTCTCCCCCGAAAGACCCGCCACGCTGCCGCTGACCTGGATGGTCCCGATGAACGTGACGGCCGGGCAGATGTCGAGAGGTTGAGACGCGACCATGCCATCTGCGGCCTCATGACGGGTACCCTTCCCCTCATTCCGCAGCAAAACGTCTTCCTCGGCCTGCCCCTCCAGCTCTGCCACGAGGAAGTCGCCTGGCTCCTTCGTCATGGTGCGTCTCCGTGTCGAGCGTCTCGGTCCCGCCCCCAGCCGAATTGTGCGTCCTGACACGGCGCCCGCACTCCCTCTGACGTTTCGTTTCGTCTAGGCGTCGGCATGCTCATCGTCGATGCTCCGGCACATCGGCGCGCGACGAGCCAGGAGATCCAAGAGTACTGGTCGGCCTATCGCTCCGATGCTCGCCGGCAGCGAAGAGAGACAAAGAAGAGCAGGGATGCCACCCGTCGTCTGTTCGAGGCCAAGCTGGGTCGATCCGAGCCAGTCGACTCGCCCACTACCCCCAGCACCGCCGCCGATGACCAGGAAGACCACGACGACGACGACGACGACGACGAGGCCGAGCTCGAAAAGATACCCTACCAGCACCTGACGCTGGGCTCCTCTTCGGATCTGCCGTGGTTTGCGCCCAGCCTCTCCCAGCCGGGCGCCACGGCCTTCCTCACCCTCTCGTCGGCAAGGCAGGCGGGCGTCTTTACCTTTCCGCGCACCGAGATGGACGTGGCCACGCTGTGCGTCTTTGAGACGCTCCACTCGCAGGGCTTCTACCTCGGCGTCGGGCTGCGCTTCGGCGGCCAATTTACCGTCTACCCCGGTGAGTGGCGAGCGGCGCGACAGTCGTGTCTGTCCGAGCTTCCGAACCGGTGACGAGCGACCACCTGTTGCGGATGAGCTGACTGTGAAGCCGTATCGACGACGATGACCCATCCCTTCCCTTGCGATGGGCGTGCAGGCGACCCACTTCGGTACCACGCCCACTACTCGGCCGCCGTCTCTGCGCGCCCGACGTCGTCGATCAGCGGATTGGAGATGGTGGCGAGCGGACGACTGGGAACCGCGGTCAAGAAGAGCCACCTCATCTGCAGCGTCGACTCGCCCCTCTCGCCATCACCCGCAGCCGCAGCCGCAGCCGCAGCAGCAGCAGCAGCAGCATCGACAGCAGCCGAGAGCGGTCCCGGCGCCGGGGAGGGCGACGAGGAGGCGCAGACAAAGGCCCGCATCGACGAAGCGGTCAAAGCGGGTCGGTTTGACTCGACACGGCAGCCGTGGGGCAAGGTGGGCTTCTTTAGCCTGAGCTGGGCGGGTTTCGGCACCTAAAGAGCCAGCAGCGGCGCAGGCGAGGGCCGGCGAGGGAACGAGGGAACGAGCGGGGCCCATGTCGAGAGGCCGACAGCCGCCGTGGCGTGGATCGAGATAGTAGTTAGGAGAAGTGAGAATCGACAAAAGACGAGGTCCAAGCGCTATGCCGCCATCTCTTGACGACGACGACGACGACGACGACGGCACAAACTATCCTGGCTGCACATGCACACTATCCAACGCGGGAAGCCAGGCCCGAGCTCAGCTCTAGGCCATGCTCAGCCCTCGGCCATTATTGCACCGGGTGTAGCTGCTGCTACATGTTGCTGGCCAGGTTGCAGCCTGGCGGTCGATGGCAGGAGATGAACGCCCCACTTCACCATCACCTTCTGAGGCTGAATGAGGGATGTGGTAGCAGAGCAGCATATGCATGTTTGTACGCCCTGCGCTGCTTTTGGTGGCGATCAGTTGACACAAGGTGACGCAACGTCAGAAGAAAGTCAAGTCAGGGCAAGACGGGGCTGGGCTGGGTGATGGTGGTGGTGCCCCGCCTGGCATGGAGCGGTTGCCGCCCGCACCCGCCGCTGGGCAAAGGTGGCTGGCACGCACCCACGCACCCGCCGCCGCTGCCGCCCTTGGCTAGCGTTGGGTTTTCCGTGCCTGCCAGCCTGCGTGGTCTGTGCTGGCCTGGGCTGGGCTGATTTGGGTTGACGGGCGGTACGGTGGTTGGCGCGAGCGTACGTAGGCAGGCGGGGCGGGCGAAAGGCACAGGCTAGGCTAGGCAAGGCAGGCAGGCAGGCAGGCCTGGAGCCCGCTCTGTGCCGCTGCCGAGGGCGCCTTTTTCCCTCGACCTGGCCTGGACTGGCCTGAGCTTGCCCGACCTGGCCCACACGCCCGTCCAGGCTGGGCTCTGGCTGGCAGGCGGGCGGGCGGGCNGGCCGGTGCGGCGTGCGTGTGCTCTCGCCTGCCC